TATACAAGCATGTATATTGACATGTAGTCCCCAATTATAAATTAACAGGAGAGGAAATGTATTAGTCTGTGTATATCCACAGCAACCAATAAGGTTCTTTCTTTGCATAGAAGGCAAAATAAAGGTTTTTTTCCTGATTGGTTACTGTGGCAAAAGACAGACCAAACAATTTCCCCTTTATAAACATTCACTACCGAAGCTTGCTCTGCTATTATGATCTTAGGCTGGGTTCACACTTGGGTGTTTGTAATATGCGCATTTCGGGCCGCGTGGTTTTACCGCGATTTGTGGTCAATGAAACGTGCAACAAACGCGCGTTTACGAGGGCTATCCGGCTGTATCCTAATGGATACGCGTGGAAATACGCCCCAAAGAAGCTCCTGTACTTCTTTGGGCGTAGGTGGGAACCATGCCCATAGGAAATAATGGGATTTCACTTGCTGGACGTTTTACTGCGCGTAGATCAGCGCTGTAAAACGCCCAGGTGTGAACCAGGCTTTGGTGAATTTAAAGCTGAACTCCCTGCAAAAAAAATGTTTTCCCATCTCACCTGTAGCTGGCCAATGCTTTAGAAAAATGCTCCTAAAACACAAACTTACTCACCTCAATGCACTGTCATGTAAGCCTCTGCAGTCCCTCTTTTGACAGTGGAGATCAGGGATCACTGGCTGCTCTATGTGTAGCCGACCAGTCCTGTTAATGCCCCATATGCCATGATGTCATGATGCCGCCCCTTTAAGACTACAGTACTTTGTGATGTGCAAAGGACACTTTCCCAGCCAATGGCCAGAACAGCATCCATGTCAGCAGGAAACAACATGTGCAATGTAACAAAGACTACAGACCAGAAGAAATATTTTTTTTCTTTTCTTTTCCCCTTAACCCAAAGTAGAGCTTTAATGTGTTTGCCTACTTCTGCAGTCAAATTTGAGAGAACCTCTCTATATGTTTGTTGGGTGTTCCTATTCACTCACACACATTTATTATTTTTTTAAATATCTCTTACCTTTCTAGTTGTTTCTTTGGAGCAGGCCTTTTGGGCAGACTGAACTCTGAACAATTTCAAAGTTAAAAGTGGAATGAATAAAGTGGGGACAAACTGAGTTTCCTTCATTAACATACAATGCAGAACGCAAGCCTCAAGATCTTTAAAGCAGAACTTTGGGCAAAATTGTTATTAACCCTTGCAGCAGGCTACCCCAGCACTGCAAAGGGTAACTGCTCATCTTTGTCTAGGGCCTAAAATAAAAAAAGTTATCCTCACCCGATCCTCCAAGATGGCTTGCTCTTAGATTGGTCTCCGGAGCCTCTCCCCCTCCGCTGCAGCGGTCTAAGGATCCTCCTGACATCATGTTCAAGATACTGTGTATACGATGTAAGGATGCCGAGGGACATACCATCACTGCAGCATAGGATGAGAGAGGCGGGAAGGAGTGCTGTGAGAGCTGGCTGGCTCAGAGGTATGGGTGGGTAGCCCCACTGCAAGAGTTAATAACAACTTTGGCCAGAGTTCTTCTTTAACCTGATCACATGACACACAGGGGGTGGGGGGAAATTTATCAAAATTGGAGCAGACAAAATCAGGAGCAGAATTGCACTGCAACCAATCAGCTTCTCTCTTCAGTTTGTTCAGTTAAGATTTGAACATGAAAGAGAGAAGCTGATTGGTTGCCATGGCCAGCTTCTCCAGATTTTGTCTGCTCCAGTTTTGATCAATCCCCCTCACAGTGTTCAGAATTAGTTTACAGCTGATAATGAGATCTGCCAGGACAGTACAGACATAGATAATTATAGTATACATTAACTCCTGAGCCCCATCCTAAACATTACATAGAAGGGGATAACTTCAGATGGAGTTTTCAGAAAAGAGCAATAAATAGGTAAGCAGCAATTTTTAAATATATTTATGCTATGTGAATGGGAACATGTAAAAAATATGAAGTAGGTGTTATCCCAATTTGGATGCAAAAGTTTAAGTACAGTTTAACCACTTGCCGTCCGCCCGTTGTAAAAAAACGGACGGACGGCACTGCAGCATTGGCGGGTTGCCGTCCCCAGACGGCATTTTTTTCTGCTCGTGCGCGCCCCCTGGCGGGCACGCATGGGCAGAAAAGACCCGACCAATGCAAACACCCGTTACCGGGTGTTTCACATATAGACGATCGGCGGCTCCATAGCCCGCCAATCGTCTATATGTGCTCATTTTTTCGGACCCCCACGCTTCATCAGCTTCTTTTGGGGTCCAAGGGTGACATTAGGGGTCCTAGAGATCCCTAATGTCTCCATAAAGAGGACCTGTCAGTGTGCCTTTGCTATTATATAGGGTTGTTATCCCCCTATATAATAGCAATAACAATAAGTGCAAAAAATATATATATGAATATAAAAAGGGTATAAAATTAATTTCAGTACAGCGCTGCATGACGGAATAAATGTCAGTTAAAGCCCATCTCAGGGCAAACAACAACGACAACAAAATACCCTGTGTTGCAAGGGTTAAGTGTTTGTTTTTGTCTAGGGGACTGGAGTAAAACAGATTCACTAAACTGATCTTTGCTCCTGACGACACCCTCCCTAGACTGGCCCATGCAGCCTCTTCTCCCCTTCGCTTCAGGGGTCCAAGGACTGCTGTTGATATCATATCTAATGCAGGTTCTATAGACTTGCATTAGATGCTATGGGACATTCCACAATCCCAACAGGAGAAGGGAAGAGCACTAACCACAGGTGAAGTAGGATCCAGGTAAGTCAATCTGCTGTATTCCAGCCCCTAGAGAAAAACAAACACGTAACCCTTGGAATGGGGGGGGGGAGGTAGCCCCAGTTTAAGGGTACTTTCTTTGTTTGCCCACTGATGGGTTTTCAATTTAGATACAAATTACAGCAGTGATACATCAATGGTTCCTTGCTTGAAATATCACAATGCCATTAACAAATGTAATCTTCACACTGGCTCATCTGAAACATGGAGGGGGTACATGTGTGGTTAAGGGTATTTTAGAAGTGTCCTTCTGCATATAGATTTCCGTTGTGTTAGAACATCTTTGCAAGCAACCAGTAGTGCCTTTCTGAAGTACTTACCAAGAAAAAATGCAATTCTTTTACTGTCCATGCACAAGATGGATTACTTAGACTGGTAGACTTGGTGCCATGTAGAGATGGCAAAGTGGCTGAAAGATGTCTATCTCACAACAATTCTACACAGCCAACTTTTGCTGATCCTGTTCACTTTCTTTCCTTTAATAAAGCATGGTGAATCGAAGCTTTGATCGTTTTAATTTATAAGAGACACTATTTTAGGCTGCCAAGTAATCCATTTCACTAATGACACTAGACAATTCTACAAATTCTTCGGCTGATTAACCAGTTAAGGTATAGACTGAGTCATTTTGTGGCAGTAATTAAAAAGATTAGAGCTGGCATGCTTGTCACTGCTGGAATACTGAAATGAGGAAGACTTCTGTCACCTCAGTCACACTTGTAGCCAAGCTTTGCCGCATTGTCGGGACATAGTGACCAGGAGCTGTCCTTCAGCACCACGCCAGCAGCGCTTCAAGGTAATGACCACTGAGAGCCCTTTCCTGGCTTGGATGCAATTTGGAATGGATATGCAGCTCTAGGTGACACCTCATCTTCATGCTTCATATGGTGACAGATTAAGATTTCAGAACATCCAAAGATTATTTAAGCCATTTCCATGCGTAGAAGTTCAGCCTCTAAAATAGGCTCTTGAAGTATAAAGTACGATATTGGAGCTGGTCTCTTTTTTTTTTTCAGCCTAATGATATACTAATCGATTTGACAACTAGGCATGTCTATTTAATCATGACATGGCTATTCTTTTTTTTTTGTCATTCTCTGAATAATAGAACTTCACAGCGATCATTTGTTTTAAATAATCACATATCCACACTGTGTCTAAAACGTATCATTTACTTGCTTACACATCAAATCGATATCCCGTATATCTGAATAGACACAACCACCACCTCTGGGTGCACAGATCGCTGGCTGAGAAACTCTGCTTCCTCCTGACTGGCAGGTGAAAAACTCTGAGCTTGCAGATACCAAACTTGCCATGTCAATGATTTCTATATGAGCATGTTGCTCGCAATAGCCTGCTTAGT